CCCCAAAACCCCAAAACCCCAAAACCCCAAAACCCCAATTGGATAATTTTCAGTTGAATTTTGTGAGTTTTAAAGTATTTGCAGAAATGTCGACTGAAGGTAATGAAAAGGGGTTGATAAAGAACTTTGGGACTTGTAGAATGAATAACAAGTGCTGGGCGAGATTAAGAAGCAGAGAATGAGGGTTTTCGAACTTTTTTGGAAAATTATGTTTTTGGGAAATTTTTAGTAATCTTACTCTAACTTTCTTTATTGTCATTTTTAAGATATCTTGGACTGGATTGATCTTCTTTTGAAATAGAGAAAGATAAGTCAATTGAATCACAAACAGAGGAATCTTTAAATCCTTTTAAGGGTATTTTCAGTAAAATTTTGATTAATATTTCTTAGATAATAACAGGCCTTCAGGAACACCTCCTGAGATTGAGGAGAAGGTTCTTTCAGGACTCCACAATAATAAAAGCATCAAAGTAAACATCAGGAAGGAAGAGGACTTCCCTGGCTTTAAGTCACACGAAATCAAAATTGATGACCAGGAATTTTCTAAGGAGCCTCAAGAGGAATATCAGGAAGAAATCGGACAAGAAAGCAAGGAAGAAGAAAAGGAGGTAATTCAAGAAGAGACTCAAGAAGAATTTTGAGATGAAATTCAGAGAGAAATACAAAGGGGAATACAAAGAGAAATTCAGAAAGAAATCCAGAGAGAAACTAAAGTAGAACTTTTCTCTAGAATGCTGAAACAACTTCAGAAAAAGTCAAGAAAAGATCAAGAAGAAGTAAGATCAGAAGAGTATGAACGAATCTGAGAAGAAGATCTGATGGGACCTCTAGAAGGAAATTTAGAACCAATCTTAGAGGAGGGAACTCTTGAAGAAGGAACTTTGAAGGATTGAACTCTTGATGATTGGGGTCTTGAAGAAGGAGCCCTAGAGGAGGGAACCCTAGAAAGAAGTGCTTTAGAAGAAGGAACTATAGGAAAAGGTGTTTTGGGAGAAGAAACCCAAGAAGAAGGAACTCTAGAAGAAGGAATTTTAGAAGAAGGTAATTTAGAAGAAGGTACTTTAGAAGAAGGAGTTCTAGAAGAAGGAACTCTAGAAACAGGAAATCTAGAGGAAGGAACATCAGGAGATTGGACAATAAAAGAAGTAGCCATAGAGGAAACCTTGGAAGAAGGGAGCTTAATAGCAGAAGCCTCAGAAGAAGGAACTATGGATCAAGATTTTGGAAAAATTAAGGATAATTATTTTGAAGGAATGCTAGAAGCAGATTTAGGAGAAGTCATTTGAGAAGATCAAGAAGGAACTCAGGGGAATACTTCTGAAAGAACTTTTGAAGATTATAGAGATAAAGTGATGAAAGAATTTCAGACGCAAGATGGTAAATAACAAGCTATGAATAATTTAGAAGAAATGACTCAAAATTTGAGTGAAGAGATTAAGGAATTAGAAGATAAGAAGATTAGCAAAGCCGACCATAACATGATAGGCGACACTGACACGAACATTGGTGATCTCGATTCCGAAACCGACCAATTAAAGGGTAACCCATAACAAAAACCTCTAGACCAGTCACACCTCTTGCTCGAATCCAGTGCTGAAATCCCTTCCTCCTCTACTCCAATGTACCCTTCCTACTCACCTCTATAGCTATGAAGACACTTTCCAGTCCAAGCCATCCGAATCTTCCCACTCTGAGTAAAATCTACCTAAATCCTAACTAAAATCTGGACATTTTCAACAAATCTCCACTATCACGGGGTTTTGGGGTTTTGGGGTTTTGGGG